AGCATGATGTGCTTCCACCACCCCCTGCAAAAATCCAGAGACTTGAAAAGCTGAGCCAGGTCATTTTGCTGTATTTGCTGTTCCTGTCTTCCACCAAAGCCCTTTGCCATTTACTCAAGTTTCCTCACCCAACCTGCAGATAAAAGCTGGATACCAGACTGACACAGCATGCAAGGTCCTCTGAGCAGGGAGAGCAGGAACATCACATCATCGTGTTAGCACTGATCTGGAAAGGACAAATGCCAGCAGTACTGGCTTCATGTGGAAACCGCAGCTCGAGCCATATGCTCAGCTGGGTTCCTACGGAGGAGATGGAATTCACCAGCTTTTCAGTAAAATATGTAATTTTTCTCTCTCCGCACATTTGTTTGTTGAGTTTTTTGTTTGTAAAGAAAAAGAGTGGTCCTGTGTGAATAGAAGCCAACAAAATCAACTCCAAAACTAAGTGAGGAACTGTTTTACTGTTAGCAGTGTCCACAGCAAAAGCCTTGGTGGTTGGCCTTGGTGCTACTCAAGCCACCGATATCCCTCGTGTTGAAACAGGGGGTCCCACAAGCCATGCTGAGCTCTTGCTCCAGTGCTGCGACTTGGCTGTACTCTCTGCCTGGGACATGTGCTGCAAAACTCTTACTGGTGTTTTAAAATGTGTTGACCACAGGGTCCATCCTTGGGGAAGCCATCAGCAGCTCATCAGGAGTAGTTACGCTCTGGCTGCCGCCTCCCAGTACAGGGTTTGGTGCAACATTTGGGCAATCAGAGATGGTTCACCCCATGAGATGGGTAAGCCCAGTATGAAATGGTGTTTCAGGCTATGGGGAAGTTATTGTCCCCTCGTAGCTTGTGCTGCTGAGTGTGGGTCCTGCCAGGTGTCCACCCATGAATGGAGCCAGAGGATGGACGAAATAGTGTGTTCCTCAAAAATCCCACCCGCATGACTCACCTGACAAGATGGAGGCAACAGCAGCAATGATGAAGGAAACGATGACCCCAGGTCCTGCCATCTCCTTGGCCACCAGGCCGGACACCACATACATGCCAGTGCCCACGCAGCTCCCAACGCCAAGGGAGATGAGGTCGAGGGTCGTGAGGACCTTGGCCAGCCTGGCACCCTGGGCAGCAGCGGTCCCCGTACCCTCCAGCATTGACTCCACGGGCTTGGTGCGCAGGACGCGGGCACGCAGGGCATGGCCTGCTGCTCCCCACGGCACCCGCCGCGGGTCCAGGCGTGAGAACGCGGCGCATGGCTGGTTCTGGGCTCCACGGAGGTGGGTCACGGACTGTTTCGGCAGCACCCACTCAGGGCTGTGGCTGCATCTCCCTCCTACGCTGGCAGTCTGGCTGCAAGAGAGAGGAACATGGTTTTTAAGTGCAATAGCAAAGAAAGAGGGATGTGCTCTGCATGGAGGAACTGAAAGGGGCCCCTGAGCTGGTTTCTGGCCAGGCTCCAGCGCTGGGAGAGCCCTGCGGGCCAAGGGGATCTTTGTTTACGCCACCGCTGCTGCTGTGTAGAAATCTCCTTTTTCCTTTTTCCATCGCAGTTGTTTTGTCCAACAGAGATGTTCTGCCCCCCCTTTATGTTTGTCTGCATTATTTTAGTCCCAGTTATTAATACAGCCCCATAAGCAGCAGGAACCTGATACCCTCTGTGTACCCATTACGCAGCTTAACTGCTACCAAAAACGATGACGGCTATGTGTAACTGCGAGGTGCTGGTGGCTGCTGTGGCACCTTGGGTCGCGGTGGAGACCAAGCTCGGCCCCATGCTCGGCAGCACCACAGCATGTCCTGGGAGTGGGGATGCTCCTGTGGGCACCACGTGTCAGCCCACCATCACCGTGCCCATCTACATGGGACCTGCTGCGGGACATGGCTGTGCTCCATCTGCACTGCAAAAAGAAAGAGCGGGACTGTATCTTTGCTCCTGTGCCCAGTGTGCTGAGACTGCTGCCTCCCTGTGCTGGGCTGTGGCTGGCTACGGGGCTTGGTCACCACGAGTTAGCCATCACAGGGATGACTGATTTTCTCTTTTTTGGTGCTACAGAAGTTGACTCTTGCAGCTCTCTGGATCTACTGGTTCTTTTTTCTTTTTGCGTGCTGCGATCGTCCTGGCAAACCCTAAAGGACGTGGTTTAGCAGGCATGGTGGTGTTGGGCTGATGGTTGGACTTGATAATCTTAGAGGTCTTTTCCAACCTTAATGATTCTGTGATTCTGTGCTTCTAAAGGGAAAGTTTTAAAGGATGCTGCTTGTTCAGGTCCCATGAATTGTGTGGTTATAAAAAGTCCTTAGTATGGTTTCTTCATTCAATTTATCACTTCCTTTTCTAGTTCTTTAAATATTGGTTTAGGAATACTTATTTCTTTTAAACTAAGAAATATGATTTTTCTGGTGTAACTGCAACACGCTTTGGGGTCCGGTTTCTGTGTAGTTAAGGCAAGCTGGGGGAGAAGCTCGGCAGAAGCAGTGCTGGCTCTGCTTCCCACCAGAGAGTGAGTGGCCGACAGCACGACCGGCTGCAGCCATTTTCAAATACTTCTAAATTATCCTGCCTGAACCCATTTGCTCTACGATTGTCTTAAAAATCATCCCCCCCTTTCTGCTATTCTTTAGCAAACTGCGTAGTTCTCAGGCAAGCTCCTAACACCAGCAGCAATGGCTTCCTAGTGACATGTGATGACTTCTTGGCTTTGAGCAAATTAACAAGAATTGACAATTTCTGCATGCTAACATAAGGGAACATAAAAAACGGTTTATTAAATATGAATTTTAGCCTGGCAGCTTCTTTCCTGTTAATACAGAAATCTATTTTTTTTTAATTGCCTTGAAGACAAAACAATTATTTTTCCATCTTTACATCCAAAACAAATTACACTGTGTCTACCAGGCAGTCTTGTGTTGCTGGAGTTTATTAAATCTAACACAGCATTCATTTCATGTTTTGGTTGATCACAGTTCAAATTGTGGTGATTTTTTACCTCGAGCAATTGCAAGCTGAAAGGCTGGATGTTCTAGCTAAGAATAATAAGAAGGAAAACTTGTTACCAGTCTTGAGCAAATGTGCATCTTTGGGTTGAGAATAAAAACAGAATTTGGCCTTTGGGTTGCTCGGGGAGTCAGCTGGTTTGCAGCACGGGCTGGATCTCTGGGTCGGTTTTACTTTCTGGTTTAAATGAAGGTTTGTGATGGAAGGGGGAAGCTGAGCCAGAGCACAGTGGGTCTGCGCCAGCCGGCATGCAGCAGAGCAGCCCTCGGGGCAGCGTGCCCGTGTGCTGGCGCTTCCAGGGTGGCTCTGCTCTGCCAGGGCTGTGCATCAGCCACCGGGAAAACAACTCCTCTAAGCAAAGTGATCACCACCCAAAATTCATCCTCCTCTTATCCAGAGCACAGCATCTCTGAACCACAGGCTGGCAAAGAGGTCTTGCTGCATTTCATCCAACCATTTCCCATCCTTTATTTAACTGTTTTCCTTACTGGGACTTTACGGGTGCTCCTAGTTGAGTTTGAAAGACTGAGGTTGCTATGCTTAGGCTTGCAGCAATTTCACTTGAACTAGCCCAGAAGCTGGGCAGAAGTATCTGACTGGTGTTACAATCTAGACACCTTTATCTCTGCATAATATTCTCATGTGGTTTGTACCGTAAGAAGATCTCTTTCCAAAGTGAGCCCATCCTTGGTCTACTCATGCCAACACCCACTGCAAGGTGAAAACAATAGACACTGAAGAGCCAGCTCCTAACTCTTGTAAGGAAAAGCATAATGAGAGTCAACGGCTGGAAGTTGAGGCGGGACAAATAATGGGTGATTAACTACGGGAAGAGATGAACACCGGGGAAGAGACAATTTGTGTCTCTCAATGTCTTTACACCATTTCTGGATGCTTTTGTGAAGGCTGTGCTTGTCACAGGGGAGCCACTGGGCCACCAGAAGAGGTAGCATGGTGTGGGATGGGGGTGCAAAGGCTGTGGGGCTGGTCCTTTGTCCCACCACCAGCTCTGTGCTTTGGCACGGGAAGACCTGCCCTGTGTTTTAAGGGGGCTGGGACTGATGAGGTTTGAGATTAGCAATTTTTTTAGCATCTTGTCTGCAGTGTGTAGGCTGATAAAAGGTTTGGGAAGGGTGGCATGTGCTCAGGTCTCGCTGGATGGATCCACATCCATATGGGAAAAATCAGTGCGTCCCCCAAACTGAAGTGAGTTGAGCGTGACTGATTCAGAGAGCCCAGTTCACTCTCAAGGCACGTCAGGGCACAGAAACGACTTTCTCACTTTTTGCAAAGAACCTCAAGGGAAGGTGTGGCAGTCTTGTCCAGGAATAATTTTTAACTGCTGAAATAATGAAAAACTTAAATATTTTAAATGGTTTAAATCTAAAGCAGGAACTGTCTGGTGGATCTGTCATGTGCCCAGATTTAGGCTGCTGAGCTGTTCCAGCTGCCCGGGGCTGGGCTGGGACTGGGTCCTCCTGTGTGGCTGCTCATTGCCATGGGGCAGCCCAATGTAGCCCTGCAGTTCATATGGCCCCTCCCGAGTCACCAAGGAAATAAAAAAGCCTCCAAAACATCTGAAATGAAGTAACTCTATAATTGCTTCTGTGTGCAATTAAAGCGATCATTCGAAACTATTCCAGATGTTTAAGTGAGATCAGCATATTGCTGCTTTGTAGCTTGGAAAAACATCCTTTTGCTCCACTTAAAGCCATAAAAAATGTCTCATGGATGGCAACCAGTTACACGGGGCTCGTTTCTGCTCTGCTCCACTAAACGTGGCTAGTTAGAAGAACACAGCGAGAGGGAAGGAGAGGTTTTATTTGTGTTTTTTTATCTGCTCTCTTCATTATAAACCCGGGAAGCTCAAGGGAGCTGTC